AAACAGAGCAATGTTAAGGCCTTATCACGCTAGCACTGTTGCAAATGTGAGGCAGAACCAGGTCTCTTATGTCAACAAACATGGCCTCATCCAATGAGACTATTCCGCTAACATGGTCGTGTATATTCCTCAAGCATAGGTACTGGCTCGCATCTTAAAAAAAAAAAAGAAGTTCTACAGTCTCGTCTATAAAACAACAGAAGGAAAGCAAATCATTTTTCAAGTTAGCACCGAAAAGTTGTAAGCTGTGTCCTAGGAATCATGCAAGCATCCTCATTCATATTATACTATTCTGAATCTGTATGATTATGTAAATAAGAGTAATATATTGTGAAAAAAGATACATTCTGAAATATTGGGCTATATTTACACAAACTTCTTTCATTTCATTTAAAAATAATCTAGCAGTATAGGTCAGTACAGAGCTTTCGTTTTGTTTTGTGCATGTCAACCTGTGTATATGTATATTGGCTATATGGTCGTTATCAGTACAGTATCGAGTTCAAGGCGGTCGCTACCATCCTCGTTTGGCAGGTGAGTGCATGAAAGGTACTTTGGGAATTTGTACCGTTAAGTCGCGGTCACACTCATCCACACCAGCCGGCCCTGTGCTAAACCGGTGCCCCGTCAAGAAGGGACAGCTGGGGACGGGGCAAAATCCCCCCATATCTCGGAACCCCTTCATACCAAGGAGTAGTGTGACCGCGGCTTTGAGTAAAGTACTCAATGCAAGGCAAAGGAAAGGTGATTGAAATACTTGGGGACGAATTATCGGCGAAGAGTTCCCTCTCGTTATCATTGTTTATAGGATTGAGATTAAAACAAACTTTTCATTTGCTGGCCTGAAGTTCATATGATACCTGAACATGATAAGCAAAGATATATTTATATATATGCACGTATTTTTTTTTCTTCTTTTCTTTTTTATGCCAAACAAGTAAAGTTGCATGCAGACTCCCTCCATAGCCAATTAGCATTTCCCTGGCTGTGTATTTATTCGCATTTAGCGAGCTATTTTCAGTATGTATCTATTTGTCTACATGCACGCATGCGCACACACACACACACAGATAAAGATATATACACACACACACATATATATATATATATATATATATATATATATATATATGCATTTGTATATATACACATAAACACACATATATATGTATGTATGTATATATGTATATGTATGTATGTATTCACATAAATATATACATAGATATACATATATACAAACAACACATGTTTAGTCACACAGAGAGAGAGGGGGGGGGGATATCAGCGTGGAGTACCAGAGCGGCCTCTTCAGCCCAAACAAGCAGTAAACAACTCACCGACGGTCCCGGCCACGGCGATAGCTATGAGTAATCTTTCCAGACGATACATGGCGAGGTATGTGTGTTAGTTTCGAAGTTGCAATGCCTTTTATACCGGCAAGAGACCTCGAGCATATTGCATTATCTTCTGCGACCTGTTTTTTATGCCTTGGGAAGAAACGTTGATAGCGAGGGAGAGAGAAGTACATTCTATTTTTCCAATCAAGTACAACAGAAGAATGTAATTGTGGGAAGAAAGACAATTGCTAATGTGAATTGCTGATTTGCATTGGACTTATGAGCATAGTAATGTTTTGATTTTTGGCTTTTTCGAAGACAACTGCGATGAATTGTAAGATTGTGTTTAGGGTATTAGTTTAGAACTTGGCTTGCCTTAATCTGAGTTGCTGATGCCGTGGGTCATTTTGAGTCCGTTATATTGCTGGCCCAATGTAGATTTTGTCCTAATCGTTAACTCATTTTTACCCTTTTGCTGTATGACCTTTGATGTCTGGCACATTTATTTTTGACCATTAAGCATTCTGGGAATCCACGAACATCGCCCGATGAACCCAAAAATGTCCTCACCTAGAGCTTCGTCCATAAGCCTCACCCTATTGCTTTACTTTGAATACGCTCCTAATGGCCATAGTTGTTGACGTGACAGAAAAGAAATCAATAAACAAATGTATATAATTACACACGTGCATTTATACTAGTTATTGTTTTGTTCATCCATCTTTCCATACTTTATCCTATACGTCCGAAATAATATTCCGTAAGATGGCAGACTTCAAATTTCGTCATTTTCAAAGTCATTTGTTTTTTCCTGTTTGGAATTATATTCCTCGCGACTGAGGACTTGAAGTCGTTTCATTTGGGTGTAAAGTGGGTTAATAATTGACAACAAAAATATGAGAATAACATACACGTGTATCAATATTATAAATCTATGAGGATCTTATTCCAACTGTCTTATCATCATTGTTGTTATTGTCATCATTATTATTATATCATTGTAATTATTATCATCATCAGTGTGATTATTATTATCATCATTATGATATCATTCTACGAGGCAAGTACACTGTATTGAAGTAGGTAGACCGTAGTATTTATGCAAATATATTATTTACACGACTATCCGAGAAAGGAGGTTAAAAAGGAAGGCCGGAGGAGAAGGGGAAAAATAAGGAGAGGGGAAGGGGAATAGAGGGCAAATGGAGGGAATTCAAGAGAAAAATGAATTAGATAGGGAGAAAGGAGGATACTCATATATATATATATATATATATATATATATATATATATATATATATATATACATATATATATATATATTATATATATATATATATATATATATATACATATATATATATTATATACATATATATATATATATATATATATATATATATATATATATATATATATATATATATATATATATATATATATATATATATATATATATATATATATATATATATGTATGTGTGTGTGTGTGTGTGTGTGTATATATATTTATATGTATATGTATTTATGTATATATATGTATGTATGTATGTATAAATGTATATGTGTATATATGCATATATATATATATATGTGTGTATATATATATATATATATATATATATATATATATATAATATATATGTGTGTGTGTGTGTGTGTGTGTGTGTGTGTGTGTGTGTGTGTGTGTATATGTGTGTGTGCACACGCGCTCATATGTGTATATATGTATATATATATATATATATTATATATATATATATATATATATATACATATATATATATATACATATATATATATATATATATATATATTATATATATTTATATATATGTGTGTATATGTTATATATATATTTATGTATATATGTGTATTGTCATATAGTCGATGATTACGTAACGCCTCTAACATCAATACGAACGTGTACATTTAGCTGCTGCTCCCAAAAGTTACATAGTTATAGACGAGATCTAGATCTCTCTCTTCCCTCTCACCAGTTCATGCGTTGAACTCTCTCACTCTATATATATATATATATATATATATATATATATATATATATATATATATATAGCTTAACAATAGACTGTTGTTTATGATGAACTGAAATCAAATTCAGCACGATTTACAGTGTGTTTATTCAAGTCTTGATTAGGCCGGGAAAGCCCTGCACAGCGCCCTCTGAAGAGCGTCCTTCATCGTGCACGAGGCGTAGAAGCGCCCGCGGGATGGAGGTCATGGTGACGTCCTCGATGAAGACGTACATGTTCATGTCGTGTGGGTGACTCTCGCGCCACATGTTGGAGTAGAGGGATATTGGCACTCCGTCCAGGTTGGCCCACTGCCCGGTCTCACGGGTGAAGCCCACCCACATGTAGCCGTAGGGCCTGTAGTCTGCCCCTGTCGTGAGTACAGGAGTTTGTGACTAAACGTTACTACTAAAATGTACTTTTAGAAGCATCCCTAGTTGACAAGATATTCAGTTTATGGCGCGCTCTTCCCATAAAACGAAAATTTCTTACTGCATTTTGAATTACAAGAACGTCCAGAGGTCTTCAAAGTAGCTCCTTACCCACTGTAGCCCACGCCTCCGCGAAGGCCTCGAGCTGCGCCGTGGAGTCGAGGGAAGCCAAGTCCACAGTCCAGCTGCTGTCGCTCAGGCCAATGCACGTTTCCCGAGCGTCTTCCCAGGTGATGTCCGTGTCGCCGGTGTCTACGACGTGGAAGCATCCTCCCCCGGCCTCGAAGAAGGTATCGGGGCACTGGGCGCCTGCAAGCGGTTTACGATTTCATTTATTTACTTTTTTTTAGAATACTAACCCTTACTTTTCTAAAGATAACTTTTATGTCCCCTAGGGATATACAATGTACATCCATCAGTTATTACAGTAGAAAAAAAGCAACTGCTGCTAAGAATGTGTCACTTAAATTGCCGAAGAAAATTCGAGCCCGAACCCTATACTAACCGACAGTCACAGCTGCTGCAGCCACCAGGAGCAAGGTTTTCAGACGAAACATGATGGCGTGTGTGCAACTTCTAGACTAACATGGGATTTTATAGCTCAAGCATCCTTGCCAAATAGTGTTTTTTGTGATATTTTTGGCTATCGTTGTCCTTCATTCTTTTTCTTTTAAGCAAGAGGGACGGGTATTGAGAAATCGACATTCTCGCCTTTTTTTATAGTTTCAAATCAGACCTCATTAAGTAAGTCGATGTTTGTGAATATAATCTGTGTCCATTTTTCTCTTATTCAAATTAGTGATTGAAATAAACAGTATATCTAGAGATAACAGTAAGAGTAATCATACTTATATTTTCGTTAATAGAATGATAACAGTAATGGTGAAAATTATGGTTTATATCATTATCATATATCACCATTACTATTAGTATTATATGTACTATTTCATTATCATTATTATTGTCTTTAATGTTATTATATCGATTTTTAGTATCATTATCAGCATTATCATTATTAAAATTACTGTCATTATCACTGCCATTGTCGTTATCATCATTATTATCATCATCACTGTCATTATCACTATTGTCATTAAGAAAGATGATAACGATAATGATTATAATGATACCTATATTATTTTCATTATCATTGTTATTATTACAATTACAACGGTCATTATCATTGCTTTTGTTGTTATTACAATTGATACCACTTTCATTATCATTATTATCATCGTTTCTATTAATAATGGTACTGTCAATAATGATATTACTTTATTCATGATTATTTCATCATAATTGTTCTTTATGATGTAATTATGCCAGGAGATAATCATTATCATCATACCTTTATTATTATTATTTTCCCAAACATCATTACACTACCAAATTATTAGCATTTACAGGATAGATTATAATGTCATTATAATTTGATTACGAGCAAGATTATGATGATCTGCACTATTTTCCCGACATCACACTAGTTAGTGCAGGATCAGTTCCCAGAAACGACGTCATAATCCACATTGTCAGGATTATTGTATTTATATTAATTGTGTTTGTCAGGATTATTGTATTTTCATTTTTTTTTTTTTCATGATTTTATTGTCATGATTTTTTTTCTATATTTATGATAATTGTTTGTTGATTTTTGTAATTGTCATAATTATTTTATTTGTTATAATTATTATATTTGTCATGATTTTTGTATTTTTAATAATTGTGTTTGTAATGATTGCTGAATTTTCATGAATGTTGTATTTGTTAAAATTATTGTATTTGTCATGATTTTTGTATTTCTCATGTTTTTTTTATGATAATTGGGTTTGTCATGATTATTATGTTTCTCACGAATTTTGTATTTGTCATAATTATTGTGTCTGGCATGATTATTCTATTTGTCATAATTTTTGTATTTGTCATTATCATTGTATTTTCAAGAATATTGTATTTATCACGAGTTTTTCATTTGTCATGATATTTGTATTTATCCTTATTTTTTGTATGTCGCGATTATTGTATTTGTCATGATTTTTTGTTTTTGTGGTGATATTTTATGTCATTTTTGTATTTGTCATGATTTTTTCATATTTGTCATGATCGTTGTATGTCATAATTTTTTGCATTTGTCGTGATTATTGTTTTTATTTTTTGTTATCGCTACCGGGTGTTCTTGTTCCGGTTGAATTATTATCATATTTATCATTATTAATTAATCATCGTTTCTCTCCATTGTTTATCCGGCTTGAATTTGGAATGTCTTATCAGCAACATCCTTGTTATATTTACGACTCATCATCAACTAATTATCATTACTATATAGTGATAATGATCATGATGATAACAATGATAATGATTACAGTAGTAATAATGATGGTAATGATGATGATGGTGATTGTAATGAGGATGGCAGTTATGGTAATAAAAATGATTATGATTAGAATTAAATAAGAATACTAATGATAATGGTAATGGTAGTAATTATAGTAGCTAGTAATAATAACTTCAGTAAGGATAATGATAATATAACACGTGATAACGTTCATAATAATAATGGTGATGTGTTGGATGAGGATGATAATGATAAAAATGACAATAATGAGTATAGGGATAGTAACATTATTTTTGATAATGATTATGATAATAATGCTAATAAGGATAATAACAATGATAATGGTATAAGTAATAAATTGAAATAGCAATGATAATATTGATAGTCATAGTAATAATGGTGATAATAATAATAATGATGATAATAACACTGATAATGATAATGACTAGTGATTATTATTATCATTATTTATATCATTATCATCGTTGTTACTACTGTACCCTTATTATTATTATCATCATTGTCATTTTTATTAACTTTATTGTTGTTTTATCTATATTGTCATCGTTATTGTAATTATTGTTATTGATATAACCACCACCACCATCATCATCATTATCATCATCCTCTCCAAGAACTGTTATAATTTGTACTTTATAGAAAGACACTTCCACAAGTCTGGCATCACTGAACAAGGCTTGCCTGCCCCCTTGCTTAAAACGCATTATGTATATATTTATACATATATTTAAAGACACACTGTCAAAAGAATGTTTGGAGCATTACCCACCAACAGTCACGGCCACCAAAGCCACGACGAAGAAACCGCTTAGTCCGTTCATTGAACACGTGACAGCTCTATTGACGTCACGATGACCGGCCCTATATTGTTTATTGAAGCTTTATAGAGTTGATTATTGAGCTTTATTTGTGGATCGGGGAGATGCCTGATCCGATGGCTTTACTGAACGGGCTTCCTTTCGTGTTAGCATGATTTTCACCGCATTTTGGGAAGAGGGTCCCGTCGGCCATGAGTGTATGGTAATTCTTCATTAAGTGATATTTCGTGTTGTGTTGCTTTTTGTTTCATGTCCGAGTTTAGAAAGAGTGGAAACACACTTGCTTACATATATAGATACATTAATTCATATATATAGTGATTAGATATACATATGCACATTTATATGTATATGTGTATATATATGTATGTATGTATATGTATATTTATTTATACAAATATATATATATATATATATATATATATATATATTGTGTGTGTAAGCATTCAATATATGAATTTAGTATATAGTGTTAATGAAATGAGTACATGCACATATATACATATCACGAGTTCAATTCCCCGCCGCAGCAGCTTGTGTTCCAACTGCTGGCTCAGACCCTATCTCACGGCAAGAAAACGTCATATCGCCCTGAGAAGTCAAGCACAGCCGTCGTCAGGGAAGTCGCCGCTGTGACACCAGTGGTATTGCTGAACCACTTTATTTTGGGATTAATTAAAGAATATGTATATGATTGGCATTTCATTTGAATACGAACGATCCACAGTGCTCAGATACATATTACATGTCATTTCTATATTTGAATGACTTGTATTCATTCAGCAATATGAGAGAGATGTGTTGTAATAGGTTCTGTCAATTACTGCATGCATCTGTTGTCTTGTGAACTTTGGTGGTGAGTTTGAGTTATTTTCTCACACTCTGTGTGTGTGTGTGTGTGTGTGTGTCCTGTGTAGTGCAGTGGTAACATGCTGGGCTTGCAATCTTCCTGGCCTGCGTTTGATCCTGCGCACTACGAGTGAATGGTAACCCGGCCATTCCTTGCTCACAGGGGGAGATTTCGAAGCAAAATCCAAAGAATATCCATTGTAACAAATGGAATTGAAACTAAATCTTAATCTTAGTCTTAAATCTCTCTCGTAAGTATATGTTGTACGCTGCCTCAAAGGCTATCCTGTCAGTTGTAACTTCAAAGAAACTCGGAGGATCGCGGGAAACTATAGAAGTCGAATTAATAATGGTAGTACATGGAGCACTGTTAACTTCTAAGCTCTTTTATTCTACGGTTTTATCCTTATGGAAAGAAATCAGTGTGAGTATTTTTTATTTGTTTGATATTACATATTTTACCCTTTTACTTCTGTGGGTAAGCCCTGCACAGCGCCCTCTGAAGAGCGTCCGTCATCGTGCACGAGGCGTAGAAGCGCCCTCGGGACTCGCTGCCGGAGGTCATGGTGACGTCCTCGATGTAGACGTACATGTTCATGTCGTGCGGATGACCTTCCCGCCACACGTTGGAGTAGAGGGATATTGGCACTCCGTCCAGGTTGGCCCACTCCCCGGTCTCACGGGTGAAGCCCACCCACATGTAGCCGTAGGGCCTGTAGTCTGCCCCTGTCGTGAGTACAGGAGTTTGTGACTAACCGTTACTACTAACATGTACTTTCAGGAGCATCCTGAAGATTTTCATTATAAGATACACTCTACCAATAAAATTAAAATTTCTCACTGCATTCTGAATTCCAAGAACGTCCAGAGGTCTTCAAAGTAGCTCCTTACCCACTGTAGCCCACGCCTCCGCGAAGGCCTCGAGCTGCGCCGTGGAGTCGAGGGAAGCCAAGTCCACAGTCCAGCCGCTGTCGCTCAGGCCAATGCACGTTTCCCGAGCGTCTTCCCAGGTGATGTCCGTGTCGCCGGTGTCTATGACGTGGAAGCATCCTCCCCCGGCCTCGAAGAAGGTATCGGGGCACTGGGCACCTGCGCATGTTTGATTTTGGTTATTGCTTTTGTTCTCGAGGAGGGATAAGTATATAACTTAATGGAACAAGATAGGTGCTGTTTGAAAGTCTACATAAAACCCCATCAAAGATAATTCTTCAAAATTACCTTTGCAACGTCTAAAAGAGCAATGTTAAGGCCTTATCACGCTAGCACTGTTGCAAATGTGAGGCAGAACCAGGTCTCTTATGTCAACAAACATGGCCTCATCCAATGAGACTATTCCGCTAACATGGTCGTGTATATTCCTCAAGCATAGTTACTGGCTCGCATTTAAAAAAAAAAAAGAAGAAAAAAAAAAAAAAAGTTCTACAGTCTCGTCTATAAAACAACAGAAGGAAAGCAAATCATTTTTCAAGTTAGCACCGAAAAGTTGTAAGCTGTGTCCTAGGAATCATGCAAGCATCCTCATGCATATTATACTATTCTGAATCCGTATGATTATGTAAATAAGAGTAATATATTGTGAAAAAGATACATTCTGAAATATTGGGCTATATTTACACAAACTTCTTTCATTTCATTTAAAAATAATCTAGCAGTATAGGTCAGTACAGAGCTTTCGTTTTGTTTTTGTGCATGTCAACCTGTGTATATGTATATTGGCTATATGGTCGTTATCAGTACAGTGTCGAGTTCAAGGCGGTCGCTACCATCCTCGTTTGGCAGGTGAGTGCATGAAAGGTATTTGGGAATTTGTACCGTTAAGTCGCGGTCACACTCATCCACACCAGCCGGCCGTGTGCTAAACCGGTGCCCCGTCAACAAGGAGCAGCTTGGGACGGGGCAAAATCCCCCCATATCTCGGAACCCCTTCATACCAAGGAGTAGTGTGACCGCGGCTTTGAGTAAAGTACTCAATGCAAGGCAAAGGAAAGGTGATTGAAATACTTGGAGACGAATTATCGGCGAAGAGTTCCCTCTCGTTATCATTGTTTATAGGATTGAGATTAAAAGAAACTTTTCATTTGCTGGCCTGAAGTTCATATGATACCTGAACATGATAAGCAAAGATATATTTATATATATGCACGTATTTTTTTCTTCTTTCTTTTTTAATGCCAAACAA